GCCAGCATGAGCTCATTACAAGTTCAGGAAATCCAACAGAACCCTTTTCTCTCTGTACATGCCCTCTGCAGGCAGTTCCCGATTCATGGATAATGTTACGCAATTGCTGGCTCAGTTAGTATTTTAGTTGCAAAAGAAAGGAAAAACAAATATCTTAAGATAAGAATCACTGCAGTGAGGTGCTGAATATTTTAATAGATGAAATGTAGGCGGATGTCACACTTTCTACAAAGCAATATGTCTCCTGGAAATCCTAGGAAAGATCTCGTCCTTAATAATTTCTTTCAAAATATATTCACATATTCACATTTAATTTCATAAATTAATACATCTTCTAAATTCAAGTTTATTGTTAACAGGGTCATAAGAGGTGTGCGACCCAGCAGAGAATTTGACAATAAATTTCATCTTAATCAACAGTGACAGGGTTGGAAATATGGAAGGCATGGGCCTTAGATATATATATATTATTTGGTATATTGTGTCATCTATTAAAAAAAAAAAGTTAGTCATTGCTTCACTCCCCATACTCCAGTTCCAATCAGGAACAATTATCCCAAAGAGACTACCAATTATGCTGCTCCATTAACAAAAGCAGGCATGCAGAGCTAAATCAAGGAAATGTCTGCAAGGCACGTCATTCTGCTGTATAGACCTACACTGTTTGTTAGAAGGGACAAAGGACATTTTAAAGAACTGATGCATCTTAGGAAGCGAATCATGACTTACTTATATACAAAGTCTGTATGTTTTCTTACATTGGCCCAGCTACTAAATTAATGTAGTAATTTTTTTTTCTTTGAGTAGGGTCTACAGTTGACTACATGTCTGTACCACCTTCACTTACAAATCTTCACTGAATAGATAATTTTAACACTACAAGGACAAGATCCACTTTTGTCTGGATACAGAGATTCCATTCTCCTGGATCTAGTCACTCTCTCAGGAGATTATATGCTAAAGCAATATTCCTTAATTCATTTGGAAAACATACCTTTTAGTAACGAACAAATGTCCTTAAATCTCCATTTTAATCTTTACATTTCGGCTACCAAACCAATTGAAGGTTGCAATCAAAGTCCCTAAATTGATTGGGAAAGGTATTCTCTTTCCATGAACCACTAAAACTGACAGGGGAAGAGGAAGTATTAAATTGTATTAGCCTTGGTCTAAATAGGCCACAATGTCTTTTCACATTTGGGAATCACTCCCCCTCCACATTCTGTTCAGCAAAAGCCACAACCAACCACTGTTCAGGGCAACCTGTAAAGTTCATCTGCTTTCTGTAAAAGTTGGATAAGACAAAGCATGAGAGGACCAAGAAGGAGTTCTCAGGGTGAACAGGAATATTTTTGTACAAACCTCATTGTTCTGATTGTGGAAAAATGTGTGGAACCCACTGAAAACCTCTTGCAAAGTGTACAGTGGCACTTGAATCACTAGGATATCTAGAACATGGTATAGACAATTTTTAGTGTGAAATTTTAAAAATATATTGTCTTAATATGAAGATAGCATATTAGGCCAACTTCATCATGTATGAGATGTACTAGGAGTACAAAGACAATGTAAGATTTTTCAGCAATAGGGTCTAGGGGGGTTGCATCTTTGGAAAGTGTCTTTAGAGTATTTTTATTGTCCATCTACAACACCTTATTTTTTCTAACACTGAAACTGCGTGGGGTGCTAGCAATCACCACCGTCTTCTCTTTGTATCTGCCACACAAGTCACTTTAACACAGAGCCAAAAGAACAACTGATGTTTCTTGCTTTAGCTCATGTTCTGTTCACACTTGGAAAGTACAGCCAAAACTGCAGTTTAATGTGGTGTTTAACATTAATGAAATGGGAAAAGTGATGTGCTCTCTGCTTGTAAACTGCAATAAACAAGTCCACAAAGCTTATAATCTAACCCTATATCTATTAACTAAAAGAAATAGCTCAAATAAATGTATTAATTGCTTAAATAAATAAATTCTTGCGACTTGAAGCACATATTGCTGTTAGCTTCTTTTATTCCTGTCTTTGCAAAGATGACATTTTCTTAATTTTGGAAATGCTACTCTTTACATGATGTTGCACATTGCATTTTTAGTTACTGGACACTCAGAAGTCACAATCATAGATTCATTGTCGCTAGAAAACTGATTGACAACTTGTACTGGCATGAGTGATTTAAAATTTTGAAGTTTTTCTCCTTTAAAATAATTAAAAAGGAAAAGGAGAGTATTCCTCAACACTTGTGCTTTTCCCTCTCCAGATACACTACAGAAAATGTGTTCATTTCATTACAGGCTGTATGCATCATGGGTTTTCTCACCTTCTGCGTTCATTGCTACAAGATTTTGACTGCTTAACAGTAAGCTTTAATGAATATGCATGTGGCTAGCACTCTGATGCACAGCAGAACTAAAGAAAGGTGTCTACAGTTTCCAGCAATTACCTATAAACGTTAAAGTTACAAAATACCAAATTCCCATATGTTCCAGGAGATGTTCAGCTTTCTTTTTTCAGTTTCACAAAGTATTAGGTATTAAAGCTGCTATTAAATAGGAAGTGCAAATGATCTACATTTGACATTACATTCAGTGCTTTTTCCTCTTTCCAAGGATCTCAGAGAAAAATACTCACTACTGTAACACAGCAATGCAGATATTACTTATGCTCAATTCACAGTATTCTACAGAAAATCCTGTACACCATTGTTAGTGAACTGATTCAAAAGCTGCGCATAAGATAAATCAGATAAATTAAACACAGCTTAAGCAAAGGTTATGAACTCTGGATTGATGACAGAACTGTAGTGTACTAAAGTACACTAAACCCGGACTTCAGTAAAGCCTTTGACAACGTTTCCCACAGCATTCTGCTTGACAAACTGGCTGCCCATGGCCTGGACAGGCATACTCTTTGCTGGGTAAAAAACTGGCTGGATGGACGGGCCTGAAAGGTGGTGATGAATGGAGTTAAATCCAGCTGGATGATGGTCACAAGTGGTGTTCCCCAGGGCTCAGTGATCTTTATCAACAACCTGGATGAGGGGATTGATTGCACCCTCAGCAAGTTTGCAGATGACACCAAGCTGGGTGGAAGTATTGATCTGTTTGAGGGTAGGAAGGCTCTACAGAGGGACCTGGACAGGCTGGATCAATGGGCCAAGCCAATTATATGAAGTTCAATATGGCCAAGTGCCAGGTCCTGCACTTGGTTCACAACAACCCCATGCAACTCTAGAGGCCTGGGGAAGAGTGGCTGGAAAGCTGCTTGGCAGACAGGGATCAGGGGGTACTGGTTGACAGCCAACTGAATATGAGCCAGCAGTGTGCCCAGGTAGCCAAGGCAGCCAACAATATCCTGGCTTGTATCAGAAATAGTGTGGCCAGCAGAACTAGGGAAGTGATCGTCCTCCTGTGATTGGCACTGGTGAGGCCGCACCTCGAATGCTGTGTTCGCTACCAGAAGGACACTGAGGCACTGGAGTATGTCCAGAGAAGGGCAACAAAGCTGGTGAGGGTTCTGGAGCACAAGTCCTATGAGGAGCGGCTGAGGGATCTGGGGTTGTTTAGCCTGAAGAAGAGGAGGCTGAGGGGAGACCTTATTGCTCTCTACAACTGCCTGAAAGGAGGTTGTAAGTGAGGTGGGTGTTGGTGTCTTCTCCCAAGAAACAAGTGATAGGACAAGAGGAAATAGACTCAAGTTTCTCCAGGGGAGGTTTAGATTAGATATTAGGAAAAATTTCTCCACCGAAAGGCTTATCAAACACTGGAACAGGCTGCCCAGGGAAGTGGTGGAGTCCCCATCCCTGGAGGTATTTGATGGACAGGTAGATGTGGTGGATAGGGATATGGTTTAGTGGTAGACAGGTACAGTTAGACTCAATGATCTTAAAGGTCTTTTCCAAACAAATGATTCTATGAATTACAGAGAGATCCCAGCAGTACCAACACAGGGAAAGGAAAAAGTCAACCTTTGCTACAGTGACCTAATGAGAGTCTCTAATATCGCAATTATACAGTATCTGACATCTTACTTATTCTTTTTTATTCTGCAGTTTTCAGCCTGGAGCAGACACCCAAAATTGCCTTAACTGACAACAACAGATAGATAGCAATTGTTACTTCTATGCTTATGCATCCTTTCTTCACCCTTGTTTTACACCAAGATCACTGGCAGTACAATGATGAGGGTAGCCCAAATTCATTTCAGGCTAGAAAAGATTAAAGAAAGAAACAGGAAAATCCTCAGAGACTGAATAGATTTCTTAAAAGCCCAAATCCTGGTAAGTAAATGTTTTAATCATTTCTCAGACAATTCTAACTAATCCAGTTCTATTATTTTGCTATCCTGCCCATACTGACATAACTCCAAGTCAAAGGGACAACCAAATTCCCTTCTTCCTCCCTATCCCAGGCAACAGGGTGTAACATTCTTGATGTGGTTTAATCTCTTCCTTACACCAGCTCATGGAATTCCATCCATAACTTCTGAGATAGAAGTTACAGGTTATTCTATAACATGTAGAACTGGAATAGGCCCTTGCCAGAAAAGGCATAATTTTGATATGCAAGTTTCTAGCAAAGGGAATCAACCACACAGTTCTCAAAACTGTTTCATTGCTTCTTGTACTATTCATTAAAAACACGGACATCTTGCTTGTATTCTACTTTATAACTGCAACTTTAAGCAAATCATCCCATTTGATCTGTGATGTGGTCAATATAGTACAATCTCTTAGTACAATGAGAATCCTCAAAACAAATACCAATAGCAAACTTTTCCAAACAACAAGAACTACTTGTTCTTGTACTAATTTTCTCCTTGAAGGATATCCTAATTCCACCTTCATCTGAAATTCTTCAAGACAACCTTAAACAAACACAAAGAAACCCTGAGCAATGACCTAACAAAAACAAAAATTAAGAAACCCAAAGATTCATGTTCTCCTCGCTCGCTTCCCACAATTGATGATAACAGTAGAATGGAAAGCAAATATGCCTTACCAAGTTCTGTTGTGTAGGTTTTTCCTTCCGAAGGTAAAGGAATGAATTGATTAGAGAAAAAGTTGCTTCCATAACCCAGGACAAAACCTTCTAGTTTGGTGTTTTGACTTGGTCGAAGATACCTCATACAAACAGTGTCATCGGTTGCATTGATCTGAACTTTCAGACTCTGCCTTTTCACTGGGAAAAGAGTAAATAAAAAAAAAAAAAAAGAGAAGATCAGAATGTATTGTCTTGTAATCATATATTCAGGAACGGAATATGAAAATGTAACAGTATAGGGCTGTTTAATTTGCCAGTTGCAAGCAACTGAACAACTGCTTAAAGGTGGAGTCTCCTGGAAAGTAAGTGTATTTTAAAAAGTAAACTAACAGTCATGTAAAATTGCAGTTTCCGACATGCCAGTTTTCCATAAGTTTAGTACTCTCATTAGCTGTAACATCTTCTACAACTGCAGTAGTAGAAAAGTGCATGAAGTAACTGGAAAAAATGCAAGTATTTGTTTTTCTTTAAATGTGGGGGTTATAGTAGTATTAACCATCTATAGGACTCAGGTGAAAAACTTGCAAGGTTTTTTATTTTTAATTAGTAAAAAATTTGAACTTTTAAAATTAAGTTAACCACAATGCAAAATTAGGGTAGAGGATAGATAGTAGCTAGATCCAAATAAAAATGCTACCACTTTTGGGTTTTTGTTCTTTTTTTTTTTCCTATGTTGGGCTGGAAATGTAATTTTCTAGTTGGAATTACACCAGGACACCTAACCAACATATATACTTTACTCAAAATTGCTAAGAAACTTTTTTAAAACATTCATTTTTATGCTTTCCAGGGGAGCAGCACATAAAGCAAGAAACATCTTGAATATCCATCTACAAAAATTTAACTTAGAACAACACAGAATGACTTCATAATAAAATAATCAATTTTTCAGCCTATAATAAGATGTTTCAACTTTTCTTGGTGGGGTGAGGGAGGATTGGCTTTTCCTTCCTTGGTGCTTACAACTTTAATATTCCCTTATCACTGTTAGTCTTGCCATATTTTCAGAATTGCTGAAGGCTAATGCTTAAAAAAAAAAAAGAAGTAATGACTTTCCCCCAAACTTACAACACTGGCACTAGAACAGTACATTTTGTGTTGTTATTTCTCTTCTCATTCTTGAAACATAAATTTTTATTCCCAACAGATTTTCAGGCTTCTCTCCAATCATGAGAGCTGAAATTAACTTTTCAGAAAAAAACCTGAAATTTGCACAAAATCATCTAACTTTGGGAACTAAATCCTGAAGAAAAACAATGAGATATGTATGACCTGTAGAACGATACTCAACTTCCTTTTCTTTCTCTCATTCTCTCTCCCTTCGTTTCTTGCTTTCTCCCTCTCAGTAATTGCAGACTGATATTCAAAGTTTCCTTAGACAAGTACATATTGATTCTCTGGTATCACCCTAGCCTACCCTCCATTTTTTTTGGAGAAATTCTAATGACTATTGTTGCTGAGAGGCCACAATCCCCAATCTGTGAAGATGATTTAGTAGTACTGTCGAGCACCTGCAGTTGTCTGCATGCTGACTGTAAGGACCTAAGCCAAATGCTTTATGCCTCTTCCCTTCATAGAAAGAACCATACAAGTAAAACTGATGGAAAACATGTGCCTCCAGTGAGACTCTTCCTTTATCTAAAGACTGATCAAGAAAAAGCTCTCATCCAGGAAACCGTCACAATTTTCCAAAAGCAACTCTGCCAGGTTGCAGAAGACTGCAAGCATTCTAGAAAACTCAACACTGACATTTTCAGCAGTACAATACCATGACTTGGTAAGGGGCGGCAGTTGCTTCCTTATCTGGGAGACATTCTAACTTCTTTTATTTTCAGTATATGAAACTGCTGCAGGCGTACAGTTTCAAATATCAACAGGGCTCCAAATAGCAGAAAATGAAAAAAACCCAACAGACTTCAAACCCCTCTAATATGCTTCATAAAGATGCTTAGTAAAAAGCATTCCATGCCAACAAAACTTAGGATTATTACCTCTGATTGACCATGAACTAGATTTGTTGAAATTATATCGTCTTCAAAACTCTAACCTAACTTTGGAGAACTCAGCATAAATTAAAGGATGGTCTCCTGGTCTCCATTGAATATTCATGTCTAAGAAGAAAGCAAGACTTACAGTACTTGATTCAAATATGAGATAATAATTTGATTTCTGTATTAAAATTCTTAATCAGACCCAAAACTGGATTTTAAAAAATTTTAGTGAAGATCTGTTTTAAATTTAAATTTGTGATTATTTATTTATTTACACAGTTGTTTCTATATGTCTCTCAGTTAAACTTTACATTAATTTGAAGACCTAATTCTAATTCAAGATTGAATTTAACTGAGTTTGGTTCCAATTAGATAGATGCTGTATAAGTAGTCAATTATAGTCACAAGGGGTCTTGATTTTATTTAAGCCTAAAAACTGTCAGTGAAGTTTCTAAAAACAGAAAGTCTAAATGGAATCCCAAGACAGCAACAACTTTGAGGTAGGTCCCTTTAGACCTTTTCTTCATAGCTAGCACATCAAAACCACCCACAGAGCTTTTAAACTCAAAGCCAGTTCTAGCAGAACATAAACAGGAATAATGTATTTTTAAAAATAGAGAATAAGGCAGAACAGAAGAAAAGGAGATTAACTTAAAATTTAAAAAAATAAATCCTTGTCCTCCCCACACTGTCTTGACAGGGCAGGTCTTTTCCCCCTAGTTCACTTTTAAGCACAGGATCCTTTCAGTGATGGCCTGGATGGCAACAAATACTACAGAGTCCCCTCAGTGTTTAGGAAAAATCTTTCTTTTCCTCTCTATCTAGTTACAGGAACTGCTCCATGCTCTTCTTGCCATAACTATCTTCTACCCCTTCTGTAAGTTCATTGCTTACTATTTCCTTCTCTCCACACAGCAGAAGTTCCCCTAGCTGAGAGGGCTCAGTTGATCTCCACAAGGGTACTCTTCTCCCCTTCCTCTTGAAGGTGCAGCCTGACCCAAAGAGCAGCACAGAGCAAGGCAGGCAAACAGCCTTCTTTACTATCATTTAGCTGTACCTTTTTAAAGGAAAAGATCTGTGCTAAAGCAACAACACAGGTGCTACACTTCATATGACTAAACCATATTCCCTTCCATGGGCTGTGTGCATTCCAGAATCACAGAAATGCAGGGATGAGTTTTAACTTGTGAAACAATAACTGTCAGAGGCTGACCACTTTCTGGAAGTGTATGGACAGAATTGGAGCAACCAAGGCCACCACTGATAAGTTTTTCTATCCAAGGCAACGAAGGTTCCCAACTGAAGTTAGAACCTGAGTTTGCTGGGAACCATAGCTGTTGAGTGAAAGCACTTGGGTTCCAGAGAGTGAAAGGCTACACAGGAGACAAAAATCAAAGAACGATGAGGACAGAATGAAGCCATCAATCACAGAAAGTGCCCTCTGTCATGGCAGAACTATCAATGCATGGTAGATCACTCTTGGTATGGACTCTTTGCAGGGAATGACATCTCTCCCCAAAGCAGGTCAGCGTGCTACTTAGTCATTAGTCCAGCTCTTCTGCCTGCCAACAGATTAACACTCCAACATATTTCCAGGAGCCCTTGCACTCCTCCAACTCCTCACTTTTATACCCAACTACACACAGTATACTTCTTAGCATCATAAATACAAACACAAAAAGCTGTAAAGAACCCTCTTTTGTTATAGCTGAGTACATTATAAAGAAATAGTTCTTAAAGAATTAAAAAAAAAAAAGTTAAAATGTTCCAGACTCAAGAGGGTCACAGGAATTCAAAGGATACCTGGACACTTATGAACTAATTCAAGCATTTCCTGAATCTGTAAGGAAAAGGCAGCTTTGTGCAGGAGACTGTAAACCCAACTCTGCTACACTGGTCCGAATTAAAAACAAACAAAAAAGCCTCCCATGAAAATGTAACAATATGCAACTCATGTTAAGGCCTATGAGGAAGGCCCATGTGGTCACTTGGAATCCTTGGAGCGGACAACAGGTATACAGGGAGGGCACAGCAGCACAGAGGGGCCTCTGCAGCCAACCGAGGAGAGCTCAGCACGACATTACTGCACAGATATGGCCAGTCTAGTCAAGAAAGGACCAGCCTGGAGCAGTAGAGGTATAAAGGACTTTCTATCAATTAGGTTGGTAAATGGGGACTAATCTCAGGAGCACATTAGCAAAATAGATTTCACTTGTGTTGATCTCACAGTATTTTGAGCAACTAACAGGGAAAGCAGGCATTCCCATTCTGAGTAATGTATCTTGGCCACCGCTCAGATAAATGCTCATTAAACATGACTGAATGGACAAGGGAAGTCACAGGAACTTGACTGCTATGATACTGTGATAAGAATGTACTTGATTTTGAGAAAATAACTTTGTCATATTATGATTTTAGAATACCATTTTCCCCACCATCTATTTGATGAAAGAGTCAAATGATAAACTAGATGCCCTCTAAATCCAACACAAAGAGATTTGGAAAACACCTTACAAACAGAAAAGAACACTTGCAGGCATAGAGCAAGGCAAGGTTGAATATTCCTCATATCCACTTGTATCAGCTTTTGGCATGTGTTATTGAAACTCTGGTCTTAAGTATTTGCATTTGAAGAGTAATTCTTTTACATTGAGGCCACCTTCAAATGAAAGATTCTGGGACTCATAGCTACCTCTGAAAAACGATCTTTCCCTCCCAGCTTGCCAACAGAAATTCCACACTGATCTGCAAGCATTCTCTTCGACAAAAGTCAACTGATGGCCAAAACCAGCAGGACAAATCGTGCACAGCATATCTGGACTTAAAGCACTATATTAAGTGCATCAGACCACTTGCAGTGTTAGAATCACTCTGGGGAAAGGACTCTTCACCGATAAGGGAAAAGACTTTTAAAGACAGCTTAATGAATCAGCTGCATCATAAGGGAACCAGCTACCATTAGCTCTTCAGAAGGAAGAAAATGGCTACAAATGGGAGCACCATAGTTTGGCCAGTTGGAAAAAATAAGTGGTCACCTATAGGCAACAGGAGCCAAGAGCAAATAAACATTGAAAAGTGTGAAAAATTTAACTCTAAATTACCTAACTGAAATTCACATCTTTAAAATGTGAAAGCAGCTATGGAAAA